CACATCCTTTCTGTAGTGGGGGGTCCAAAACTGAACACAGTACTCCAGATGTGGCCTCACCAGTGCTGAATAGAGGGTAATAATCACTTCCCTTGACCTACTGGCAACACACCCACCAAAATACAGCCCAGTATGCTATTAGCCTTCTTGGCAACAATGGCACACTGCTGGCTCATATTCAGCTTATAGTGCACTGTAACCCACAGGTCCTTTTCTGCAGAGCTGCTGCCCAGCCAGTCAGCTCCCAGCCTGTACTGGTGCATGGGCTTGTTAGGCTTCAGAAAGCCTAATGAAGCCAGTTCTTCGATCTGGACATGCTGCTTTGGACGCCGAAGTGTCCAAAGCTTCTCCGGATCCGAAGCACAGTCCAAAGTCTCGCACAGCCCTGCTATATAGCTAAGGCTGGGGACTTCAAGTGGGATGTGCCAGTTCTCCTGCTAAGAACAAAGCAAGAGGTTACTGCCTAAAGGGTGTTGCCCCTCTACTCAGAGTCAGACTGGTCACTATATTTGGGGTCAGGAAGGAATTTTATCCCATGATCAGATTGGTATAGACTGTGGGGGTTTTCACCTTCCTCTATAGCAAGGGTGTGGCCCTCTACCAGGTATTTCTGGAGCATGTATTGACAATATGTTATAGAAACAGAACATTGGCTGCTGTGGTTGCCCTGCTTTACCTGTGGCATGTTAGGGTGGTAGGTTTATGTTGTGTCAGAGTTGAGGGTAGCTCTGTGTAGAATTTAGATTATGGTTGTATGGGATGATCCTGCCCCAGGCAGGGGGTTGGACTAGGTGACCTCTAGAGGTCCCTTCCAGCCTTACTTCTTATGACTCTTTGTGGATCCTTGGGGATCTCCCAGTTTGTCGGAAAGTGTAAAGGATTCTTGCACCAGGATGTAAAAAATGGGTGTTTAAAGGATTTTTTGCTGATGGCTCAGCCATCTAGCAAGTACCTCTTGAAGGTTTTAAAACTGACCTGAATACTAGGATTGTGTCCGTTCATTTTACAGATAATTGTGTAGCCAAGGAACTAGGAGATGAGGCTTTCATCCCTAGGTACCTAAAGTGTTTAGATCCCTAATGGTTTAGAGTAGACTCTAACTTCTCAACCTGTTTTCCCCAATGCAGTGTGTTAGGTCCTCCAGATATTGGTGACGCAGGCTTTTGAACCAGAAGGAAAAATGTTTCTTTTCCAACTTTGAGTCAGAGCAGCTGCTGTGGTTGGCATCCCTTGTATCCAAAGGGTTGTCAAGTTTAGCTGGATTATTAACCCTCTAAAAAGTTTCCATGAAAAGATGGTTTTTCATTTGCCCCAGGCATTTGTTCCCAATGCTGATTTGGGCTTTTGTTTTAATTGGTCAGTGGAATTGCCATTACTCCCCTAATGTGAATGGTTCATGGGCAGAAGATTCATGCTTTGTCAAATTATTGGGTTTAACTTGGAATGCTCTGAAGTTGCAGAGCCAACAGACGCTTGAATGTATATATTGAAGTTCCCAAAAAGGAAATAGGGTTTACAAGACTAGAGTATGTAAATGACATTTTGCAAGCACTGTATCTGCCTATGGTATGAAATGGCAGATTCTGTCTCTTCAGAACAAATGACTAGGCACTCATCCAAAACTTCCCTGTATACTGGGCACAGAAGTCTGAATCTTTGGCTATGAATTTTGTTCTGTGTTTTTATGTGTTTGCAATGTTATACATTTTGAAATACATGAAAAAGTATCATTAGAATATATATGAAAATTAGATGATACCTTTGGGCCCCTGGCAGTTGGCCATCTTTGTCTGTGGTACAGATTTTGGTCACTAATTCTTGAACATCTTTCTGCTCACTGTGGTCAGGGCTGTCTCTCCCTATGACTATGAAGTGGCAACACCTCAGTGTATCTGCGTCCTGGGCACAGTTCACTAATCCAGCTGCAAGGGTAATATAGCAACAACTGAACCATTGCTTTGGGCGCAAGACAAGTTTGAAATAGTTGATCTAAAGAGGAGAACATTCCAAATCAGAGAGCTCTACAAACTTAACCTGGATCAAACTGCTCAATTGATGGAGGTGATACAGCAGAAAAATTGCATTCTTTGTTTTGTTTCTGAGCGCTACTGAATTTTTTTTTTTTGGTCTAAAGGATCAAATCCAGCCCAAGGAGCTGGGATTGGGTTCCAAGTATCACTGTGGGGGTGGCTGGAGAGGAATCTTCCCCCATCATCAGGTTGTAGAGTAGCTGGGCAAATGATCAGTGATGGTTCTCCTCCATCATATTGTAAGGTTGCCTTTCTGACCTCTTCACATGGGGGCAGCATCAACTGAATCTGCTGTTCCTGAAAAAAAGATCAAGTGCATCCATGGAGGAAGACCCAAGATTTGCAGGAGCCAGAAATCACTCTTGTACTTATATGAAGGTTGTATGTTATTCTGTAAAACTTTCTTTAATACTCCGAGTCTGTTTTTGGAAGTGTTGATGATCCTGTGAGCCCAGGTGACAATGTGTGATCCCTGTGTTGGTGGCTGCAGAACTTGACGGCAAGAGAATAAAGTACCAGGCTGCTAGATGCCAGTTATTGTTCTCTATTCGAAGGAGAAAATAGGAATGAGTGACAGCAGTGTTTTCTCTCTCTCTCTCTCTCTCTCTCTCTCTCTCTCTCAATTAGATATTCACTAACTCAGGAGATTTGAAGAAATTTTTAAGGGATTTCTTACCGTCTTTTTATTCCAGGTCTGAACATTCTGTTTCTGATAACAAAGCCCTAATGGTTTTAACGGAAGACCCATTATTATATATTTCTCCACCACCCTGTAAACCATTGATCAACCGGACGGAGTCTCTCAGGTTAGCAGATGACTATTTTTGTTTATCTTAGTTTATGTATATAATTTTTGTGCGAGTTCTTTGCTGCATGAAAACGGTTATGGTCAGTGGCAGCAAAGACTTCTACGTTGTGTTTTCAGCATGCCACTGACCTTTGAGGTAAAATAGTTATCTAATGTGTTTTTATCCTGGACTCATTGCTGAAACTGCTAACATGAATACCACCTGCACTAATGATTTCAGTGGTACGGACACGCATCCCCTCAGGTGAAATCCATTTGATGGGCTCCATCCAAAGACAGGCATTAGATGGCAAGCTCAGAATGGTTCTGATGGACATCTGAAGGGAACCCTGTTGGGTATGCTGGCTGAGTTCAAAAAAGGACTGCCAATAATTTTCTCTTACTTGTCTGAAAGATTCCTCTCTCAGGCCTAGTCCATACACAGAAGGTGCACCAGTTCAACAAAAAGTTCACTATACTGTTCAACCAGGGCATTTGTCTGTGGACACTACCATCTGTTTAAACGTGGAATTCATTTTAGTTTGCATCTCTTAAGTTACAGATGTTGGCTAAACTGTTACGAGACAGGTTGGCTTAAACTGATGTCTGAGTGTCAGCTGAAAAGTTGTATGGCTTTAACCAAAAATGTTATCACAACCACGTAGTTAAATTGGTAAAACTTGTTTGCAATGAAATGGCCATGCTGGAATGTCACATAATATATTCAGTAGTGAGGGAGGTGGTGGCTGGACTGGATGGTAGGTACCATTTCTGTTGCATTTCCTAGGATGCTCATTTAACGTTGCTGCAGCATGAGAGCCATAGCAGAAACTATTGATAACTACCTATCAAGTATAGTCTGTGGCCCTAATTACTAGCTAAACAGGGCTTTAAGGGCACCTATTCTGCCTCCTCCATGGACAAGAAGAGGAGCATTTGTGGTTCGTCTTCCAGCTCAGCGCTACAAAACCAGGACCTTGGTAGCAGACTCCAGCGTTAATAGTTTAAGAATTCAAGGGTTCAGGTGCCACTCCATCCAAAGAATCTCCAGATTAGGTGGACGGGAAATAACCTGGAAATTACCTGTTCGGCAGCACAGAAGCGGAAAGGGATCTCAGAGTCCTAGTGGACTCCAAGATGAACATGAGTCGTCAGTGTGACAAAGCGATCAGCAAAGCTAACTGCACTTTATCATGCATCAGCAGATGCATGACAAACAGAACCAAGGAGGTGATAGTTCCCCTCTATTGGGCACTGGTCAGACCGCAGTTGGAATACTGCGTCTGGTTTTGGGCACCACACTTTAAGAGGGATGTGGCTAACCTGGAGAGGGTCCAGAGAAGGGCCACTCGTATGGTTAAGGGCTTGCAGGCCAAGCCCTATGAGGAGAGACTAGGGCACTTGAACCTCTTCAGCCTCCACAAGGAAAGGTTGAGAGGTGACCTTGTGGCTGCCTAGAAATTCATCATGGGGGCGCAGAAGGGAATTGGTGAGGCTCTTCTCACCAAGGCACCCCTGGCAGTTACAAAAAAAAAATTGCCATAAGCTAGCAGAGAGCAGATTTAGACTGGACATTAGGAAGAACTTCTTCACAGTTAGAGTGGCCAAAATCTGGAATGGGTTCCCAAGGGAGGTGTGGTGCTCTCCCCTACCCTGGGGGTCTTCAAGTGGAGGTTAGATAGGCATCTGGCTGGGGTCATCCGAACCCAGCACACTTTCCTGTCTATGCAGGGTGTCATACTCTATGATCTATTGAGGTCCTTTCTGACCCTAACATCTATGAATTGCATGCACACACGGATGCATATGTTTTCTCCTGGGTCCCCTACTGTTTCTGATAGCAACCCATTTTGGCCAGAAGTTGCCCAGGGCTTTAGACACATTTAAGGAACTAGAATCCTGGGACTGTCCAGCAGAAAGCTGCTATTGTTTCTCTCTTGGCACTTCAGCAGCCATCTTCCTAGCTTCCTGCTGGTCAGTGCCCACTCTCTGCAGTAGCATCAGCCTACAGTGTTCACCTGCCTTTTGACAGGAGATAACCTGTGAGGCAGCAGCCAAGTGCAGGCCTGAAGCTACCTTCTGTTGTAGGGAAAGGGGAGTAGCAGGGAGCCAGGTCACCCATAGCAAGAGGTCCGTTCCAAGGGGCCAGGTAAGGGAATGTTGCCTATGAAAGGAGAAGGAGAAACTGGGAGAAAGCATTCATGCAGAGTGAATTAATAGAGGAGAGAGAAGGAGGCCATTGAAAAAAGAACCTTTATCTGAATGAAAAATTCTTTCCGATTGCCCAGGGGTCTCTGGCTTTTTCTGCATACTGGAGAACTTAGTCGCTTGCTTTTTCTTTTATCTTTTGGTGGTATAAGAAAAACGCCTCCCTGTCTTGCCCCAAGCCATAACAAAATCCTTATCGGAGGGTCTTCATTTATCTGGTGGCCCTTGCCTATCCATTCTGATGCTATCAAATGATGACGCTTTTGTTCATTATCCAGCCTGGATCAATTTGAAGCCAAATAACAGTTCTCTGAACTATTCAGTTTACCGTATATCTGCTTGTGTGGAGATGACCATCGCTTTTTTTCATGGGTCAAAGCAAATATCCCTTCACTTCCAACAGTGCTTAAAAAGGACATTTAAAGATCTATTGTATCTGAAATATTCAGGCTATCGCCTCTCCCATTCAGCTTCATAATGCAAACAAAGACCTATTTTAACTTGCCATTACCTCTTATGCCTTGCTGGAAAAAATGAAAATGTATGGCTTCTGAAAACATGAATTAATCTTTTTTTCCTTTTTTTAATTCCCTTTACTCTTTAAACTTTCACCCAAGTTTATCCTCTTAACTAATAGACTTGTGATTTCAGTTTTCTATTTCCGTAGTAATTTTAAGATTATTGTTTAAGGAAAAGAATGTACGAGACCCAGTTTAAATGGAAAAAGATCAATCAGTCTGGTATCTACTCTTTGTAGATATTTAGCTATCAATTCTCTCTTAACTTTGATCTTGTGACTAAAACTCATGCCTCAATGTTGAAACTAATATGACAAAAAGTTTAAAACTCATGAAACAAAACAGTAATTCAAAAGATCTTTCAAATAAATGTTCAAAATGTTGGCCAAAACCTAAGATGTTCTGTTACTGTTTTTTAAAGATCTGGCTAAATTAATGCTTCATTCTACAGGTTAAATCATGAACTTCGAGGGTGGGTTCATAGACATGAAGTGGAAAGGACACGTTCTAGACAATTGTCAAAAAACCAGCAGCAAAAAGCACAGGTTGTCCAGGTAGGTTGCTTACCACTGTTGATTCAATAACAGGACAAGTTAATTTCTGCAACCATGATCAACTCTCATGGAAACAGGGCTGGAAGGAATCTCAGAAGGTTATCTTGTCAGCCCCCCTACTCATGGCAGGATCATCTGTGTCTAAACTAGCTGTCAAAAATACAGCCTACAGATCTGTGTCATCTCACCTGTGGGGCTCCCCATGGGTATGAAATTTGGGGGCAAAGTGAGCGGTGTCAGGATTAATAGCCACAGACCTGCGACACCTGTTCGAGGGAAGCCAAAACTGAATAGTAGAGGGCTTGGGAGATGAGGACAAAGAGTATTACAAGAGCTGTGAAGGAAACTTGCAGATACTTCCATTCGTGCTTATATATTAGTTGAGTGTTTTTGTGAATAATAAAATCACCAAAAATAAATTTAAAAGAAAGAGCCAAAGAGCAGTGGTGAGACAGTAAATCTTTTTTTACTTAACATAATACATATGGTTACCTTTATCTACAGTTATCTCATTTACTTTTCTGCACTTGTTATTAGAGGCAGAACTGGCAGTAATGCCTGTAGTTAAGGTTGCCCAACACTTTCCATTATAAGCAGCTATTTTCAATTGCTGGTGATTTTGCCAGACCTTTGAGAAGTCAGGCTGAAATTTTTCCATGCTCATTCTGTTTCGGACAGAATTTTTTTTTCTCATCAAAATTGGTTCAGGTACAGTATTTCTAAAAATGAGCTTAAAAAAACCGATGTTTTGCTAGTATGGGGGTGGTGTTGTTATTTCAGCCATTTCTTTGAAGGTTTTAGTACTTGCATGTTTTTGATTAGGAACTTTAAAAATGTGGTAAGGCAAAGGTCTTAGGGTAAGGGTAGTGCTTTTGTCTGACTTTGTGGAAATCCTTCTAGACTTGGCATAGTTATAATCTCCAGTCACAATCTGAAATCTCTATTATCCCATGCTCAGTAAAGCTTTTTAGAGGTTTGTTGCTAAAATCTGAAAAGATTCTAGCTGCAAGGACCGTGCTCTCGACCCCTTTCTTCAGAAACATCATGAATGCAGGTGAATGCCTCAATCTGCTGCTTGCAAAGGTTGCCACAAAACTAGAACTTCAGAGGGATGCATCCATCATTTATTGCAGGAATCCGTGCTTAAGCCGTAAGCCATGAAGAGACCTCCCATAGAGGGACAGTGTTAATTCTGTGCCCTTTCCAGCTCTTATTAGTGAGCAAGGCCCCACACCACCCCTAAGGAGGTAGACAAGTACCGTATTATTCTCAACAGGAAGCTGTCCAGAGTCACTTTTGGTAGAGCTGGGAGGAAAAGCTTCTTTCTAATGGCAGGTGTGTAAGCCTTATCCAAAGGGCGATTGTGGAAAATCTGTGTACTTGAATGTGGTGGAGTTTTAATGTAGTAGTAGAATAACTAGAGGGGGAGAGTGGGATGCCAGCCCTGGGTGCCAACTTAGGGCACCAGTATGGCCCCAAAACCCTAGGAGTCTACTATAGCAGGACAGCCCTGTGCTATCCATGTATAGAAGCCAGACAGGCATGGCACCATGACCAATAGTGTATCTGGCTGGGAGGGAGATGGAGTATTGCCCCCTCTTCTCTCCACCATCCCCCCAGAGGCTTTGCCGCAGGAGGCACAGCCCTGTGCCTGTGGGGAGTGAACAGAGTACTAGGAGCAGGCCTTGGGGAGACCACCCGCTGCCTCTCCCCCAGCAGAAACTGCCTAAGCCTGGACTGTTACAATAACAGCTGGAGCACCACTGGAGTGAGGAGATCCAGACAGGCAAGACTCCTCTACCCCTCCAGTCTTCTGTCTTGCTTGGTCTTGGCTGTTCAGCATAATTCCCATCTCTGCCCCAGGTGCTGAAAGATTTGGCTGCACCTCTAAAACCTAGGCACCTGAGTCAGGGATGAGGGCTATACTGGATGCTGTACAAGCACAGAACAAAAAATGATCCTTGTCCCAACGTGTTTACAATCTCAATATAAGACAAGAGAACAGATGGAGACAGACAGAGGAGCCAGTACAAGAAAACAGTATTGGTCAGCATGGTAGGTAATGGCCTCAATGCATCAGGGGTTCAACTTGCAAGATTTTAGTAGTTATTAAAAAAAGGAGAGGTTTACAGAGGGTTTTGAAGGAAGATAGTGAGGTGGCTTTGTAGATGCTTACAGGGAGCTCCTCTCCACTGAGAGGCAGCATAGAAGAAAACACAAAAGATGCTTGTTTGAAAGCCTAGTAACTAGATGATGGAGACTGGAACCATGGTGGGTTTTAGGGCAGAAATCAATCTTCAGAGACTAAATAAGAGACGACAGGAAAGAAGGGTAGACCATGAGGGACCTTCAAGTGGAGACTAGCAGTTTCTGGTTTACACTGTTTATGGTATCTGTAACCTCTGCATCACACTTCTTTTCAGAGCCAGGAATAGAAGGTAGGAATTTTGCTAGAGATCTAGTATTCCCCTGCTGTGCAAGCCATTGTATATTGTCCCCCTCTGCTGCCTGGTGTACATGGACGGTAACCTATTCTGCTTGCCAATTATTCCTTTATTTCAAATAGAGATTTAGGCTGTGGATCTGAACTTCCTAGTTCAGATCCATCTTGATGAATCGTGAAGAAATCAGTGTGGTTCTAGTGTACAGCTTGCATTTAAAAAGCCAGAGAAGACACTGTATTTACTCATCTACCACTCACCGATGCGTGCAGCTGTGGCTTGGGTGGCCCTCATGCCCAAGGGTCTGCTTGCCAGGGCTCTGCTTGGGTGGCCCTCAGGTCTTGGGTCTCCTTGGCTCAGGCCTCAGTGGTCAGACCTCTGGAGCAGTGGCAGGGCTGTCCCACATGCCCAGCTCTAAGGCAGCCCAGCTGGCCCTGGGTGCTTCTGTGGGGCCAAGACAGGTCCAGGGTGTTATGCAAGCTCAACAGGTTGCTGCAAGCTGCTGCACTTTACATTGCTGCAGCACACCATGCAGTGTGCTAGAGCAGTAGGGGCTCAAACAGAGCACTACAGACACCAGTAGGCCTGTGCGAAGTGGCTAGTATTCACTTCAGATTTGGATT